GTGAACATAGATGGCAGAACCCCCCTTTCAAGTCTTTGATCCACCCCTTTGGGAATTGTGCTATCCTAGCAACTCGCTGTGGGTGTGGGGGTGGTTCCTTTGTTTGAGGCTTGGTACCCCTTGGTCTTGTTATTCCCGATGAAAGCTATGCGGGTCTCTGTCCAAATACGCTCTTGGGTGCTTTCTGGGTCAAAAAGGAGATTTCAAAAGGAGGCTCTTGGGGATATCACCCAGGTCTAACTGGTGTCCCTTTTCAGATCTAAAAGTGAGCTTAACTTGTGGGTAAAAAATTCGGAAACCCAACCGCTAAACCAGGAAAGCCGAAGGGACCAGATGCCTGGCGAGCACCAAGGGGACTCCACCTGCCCACTTTGCATGTCCTGTCTACCTGTCGAACCACTCAACCAAACGCCTTGGTTGAAACCAAAAGGAAGACTCTAAGACAAAGCCCGGGAGAGTTGAAGTTCGGATCGCTGCGGGTGTAAGCCTGGATTGGGTTTGCTGTTTTCTGGGCTGTCCGTTTTCTGATCCCCTGCTAAAAGTTGAGCTTGTGGGTTAAAAGGAAACCCCCACTAAAACACCTAAAAAGCAAACATTAAAAAGCCAGATTTCTGAGGGCACGGCTGAAAACCGCCAAGTGTTGTGGTTTGTGTTGGGGTGGGTGGATCGGACGGGCTGTTAGGTTTTTATTTGGGGGGGCGGGCTTTGTGGGGGAGTGTTCCGAAGGCGGGATACTGATCTTGACCGTCAATTGGTTTGCCACGTTCAGCCAAAAAATGCCAGCACCCCCCAATCCCTAAAAAGAAGCCAAGCAGTCGCTGGGGCTTGGGGGTTTTGGGTTGGGGAGTGCTGGTGATTGCTAGCTGCCGTGCAAGCAAGAGCTTACAAACTCAATGCTCCAAGATTTCCAGATGTCCTAGGTTCGGCTGCCTTGAGGGGTGGGGTGGGGTGACACTCAGATTTCCGGTCATCTGCGCACTCACGTCAAGTGCGCACTCAGGCTTTGGGGGTGGGGTGGGTGGGGTGGGTGGAGGGAGGTGGGAGATGAGACCTGATATTCACCACGGAAATGCCTCGCACGTGGCAATCTCGGCGCTGTGCGCCGAAATCAATGTCTCACATGGCTGTTTGAGGGTTCTCCATTCTGTTTCCCTTTGTGCCTCGAGCCGGGAATGGCGGATTGAGGGGTACTGCTGGTTCATGTGGGTGCCTCTTAAAATAGCGGACTGCAACCGTGAAACATGGTGGGTGTCCTTGTCTTTTCATTCAACGCAATCCAAAAGAGGGTACCCACAAAACACACACACAAACACAAACACAAACACACCCCACGCACACACATACACACGCCGTGTGGAGAACACTCATCTGTATGGATGTACGAAGACTTGGCACATGAATCTTTGCCAACATGCAAGGCCCTGCCAGGTGGCCTGTCGTATCCCAGCTGACGTTTTGGATGCTTTGCATCGGTCGAGTCGGGGTTGGAAAAACCGAATTCGTGTCTGAGCGCCCTGCGCGCATAGCCTTGCATATCTTCATACACTGCCTGGTAGGCTTGGTTCAGCTGGGCAATCAAGAGGTTCCTTGGATGGCCGACAGTAGTCGATATGGCCGTGGGTCAAACATAGGCCCGGGCATATGGAAGCAAGGACTAAAACCTGAGGTCCCTCAACATCTTCCATTTGGTTAAGACCCCTGGAAAGAATAAATACATTTCCAGTAGTGATAAAATCCTTTTCAAACCAACACGGGAAAATAAGAAATATTCTTAAGCAAATGGAAGTAGTTTGATTTTGACCCAAACCAACATCCCCGCTGCTTTGCGGCTGAACCACAGGTCCGCACTGAAAAGATTTGCTCGGATTGGCAGGCGACTTTTTCAATCAGCTCGGTCGCGCAGCCAAATCTTCAGCCGGCAGCACCCATTCAGCACAGTCTATCCTTCACTTCACATGTGCTACGAAACCCAGTTTGCATGTTCAGGTGGACGCGGATGCTGGTCTGCTCCTTTCAACCTCCAGTAACTTCCTGCAACAATGGGCTGCCTTGTCGTTGCTGTTGACCCCTCTGCAAGAAGTTTAACTTTTTGTGGGTTTGGTGCAAACCCGCTTCATTTCCCAAAAACAGTCAAGTATCTTGCTTGTGCGTAAATGCTTGGTTCTTTGCGTATAAGAGTAGCTGGCCGTTGGCTGGCCGTGTGCTTCGAGGCCGACTCTGAAACGCTGCGATTGCCGAAACTCAAGGGCTTACGTTTGAGGACATGGCACCTGTTTGCCCACCTTTATTCCTGCCATGCAGCTGGCCAGTTTTCTGTCAGCCAGCTCACATTTCTTAAAGTCAACTTTAAGGTGAGATATGCCACATGCTATTTTGAAGCGCGCTATTGCAGCTGCCTCCCAATCTCAAAGCTTCACAATCGAAGCCACTTGCGTGGTTTAGAATGAGCCCGCCATGCCCAAAGTATTCGACCTCGTTTTCTTGCCCGGGCAACCTTCCCTTAGGTGCAACAAAAGATTGCCAAAAGGCGATGGCTCAAGCCGGGCCCAAACCCCTTAGGTGCCAAAAAGAAAGTCGGCCAAAGGCGATGGGCTTGACCCATGCAGCCGCGCGACAGCAGGAAAATGGAGATGAGGATCACAAACATGCAAACCGCCACCAGGACCCAAGGCTCTCCCTGCCCAGGCAGCTTTTGAAGGACCCCCCGGACCTGACAAACCACCTGCTGAGCCGACTGGCCAGAAAAACCAATAAAAACACTGGGTTGTTTCGTCCCTTGACCAAAACGAACGAACCATGCCAACAATAAGGTCTAGGTCCTCCAGTAGTGAGGATAGAACAAGGCTACCAACTTCTGTCTATTTTAGTAGGGGAACTTTTGCAACCAAAAAAAGGGAAGAGAAGGGCACCACAAGAAAAACCCAGGTTTCGGCTTCCCTTGTCTTTGGCGGATTGGTGGAGGGCTGGTTTCCAAAATTGACCTCAGCAGCCAGGGGTTCAGATCCAAATCCACTCCGAACCGCCAACCTTGGGGGTCTGCCAACTTTTTTTGTTTTTCTCCGGTTTCTTTGTGATGCCTCTTTCAAAGAAAATCTAAAAAAAGTACATGTGAAACCGCCATGTTGTTTTTTACTCCATGGATCGCCTTTTTGCAGTGCATCTCAGGTCGTGTTCCAGAAACCTGTTTGGAGTTGCTAGCCTCCCGCATTACTATGGCACCAAACAGAGGGTCCCTTAAAGATAAAATGGATCTTCCAGCTAAAAAGGGACGCCTCAAACAACACACACCCCTCTTGACATCCTTGGTACAAGGCCCCTTAAAGAGGAAACTTATCATCCAGGTAGCCTCACAGAAACGCTCAGCAGGAAGCTTCATGAATCCTGATAGGAACCTGGGATTCCATATGGTTTTTGGGTCGGACTTTCTATGACTTTGTTGCGTCAACCATCTGTTGGAAAAAAAAGAAGAATCATTTTGGGTAACTCATACGGCTCGCAGACGCAACTCGCCGAACACACACGTGTGCGTCATAGGGTCTTCGGCACAGGCAAGTCCCTAGGCGGGAGTTGCCTTGATGTTCCTATTCGCACACGGCACTAGGGTTTGTGTTAAGCTTTGGCTCCTATTCAGTGGTCATAAAGAATGAACTGCCAGGACTGGGCTGCCCGTTTTCTGATCCCCGCTAAAAGTTTAACTTTTAGCGGGCTAAATGGAAACTACCACTAAACACTCAAAGGCTAAAAAGCTAAGGAATCGGATGGCTGAGAGCCACCAAGAGGCGTGATGGGGGGAGATCCATCTTGTCTGACTGGAATGCGAAACGGCAGCCGTGAACTCTCCCTCGTGCAATGGGAACCCTCCATTTGCAGAAACAACATGTCCTCTAGAATACGCCCAGGTGGTATCGGGACCCAACAACGCCGGAGCCCCCCTCAAAACGCTGCGGAGTCCTCCCTGAAAGCTGCCCCAAACCACCCGGATCGAGCCGATTTCTGGGCATCGACCAAATCCACAGCTTTCAGCTGTTGCGTATCTAAACATGTCCAGTAGTTTCAGCTTCCCCAAAATCGGTTCTTTGGATCGGTGGCAGTGGAAGGAACCTTCCATTTGCTTAAGACCCCTGAAAAAAAAACAGTAGTGATAAATTCCTGTTGATTTAAAAAAACATCTTAAGCACATATTCCTGTTGATTAACAAGGGAAAATAAAACAAATCATCTGAAGCCACTGGAAGAGCTCGGTTCAATTTGGATTGGCTGTGGCTCAAAAACACGTACTGAAATGGCACTTTGGTAAATGGAAGGGAAGACTAAAACCTGCGGTTTGCCCCAGCTCTTATTTTTTTTGAGCCACACCGAATTGGCGGCGGTTTGGTTCAGGAACCATTGGCGGAACCCGGTGCCTTGAGGTGCGTGTAGCCGGAGGTGGGGTACATCTTCAGCGACATGCCCAACAAAGACACCATGCTCTGGTCGATACCTGCGGGATTGTTTTGTTTGTTCCCTTATTTTAATGTGTATATGTATACATTTATATATGTATATATATACATATACAACTACACATAATGTATAATAATGTGGTGGTTCTTCTGCTGCGTTCTATTCTACTTTCTTGTCTAACATGTCTTGGAAAATACATCAGAGTGGTCAATTCCTGCAGAAAGCCGCCGTGTCCCTTTCCAGAACTCCCAGCTCGGAGCGAGAGGCCTCGGCAAATTGGAATACCCCAAGTTTGGGCCGCGGAAGGGCGCGGTTTCGGTCCCTGTGCGGTTGGCTTTCCGCGCCAGTCGAAGGATTGGTCGGCCCAGGGAGTCCAGAAGCAGAAGGGTCGTGCGGTAAATTTGGTCGTCGCTTGGTTCCGAGTGACAGTTTGCAGAACCAAGGGGGTCTGTTTGCCAGCTTTCGTGGAAAAATGATCGACCCCCTCATAGTGAAGGATTCCTTTTTGAGGGGGTCGCCCATTTTCTCACAAAAGGTGGCAAAAAAAAGAAAAACTGTGCAGAACTGACTCCGGTTATACAAGGCTCACACATCTTGTTTCAAGTATGGTGTCTCGCCAACCGAACAAAGAAACCTTTGTCGTGGGAGCTCGAACTCCCGCTTGCAAGGCCCCTGCAATTGCCCCAGCCATATATACTGTGGATGGATGGACGAAACCCTGGAACGATGACACTTTCAACAAACAATGGTTTGAACCATGGTTGCTTACATAGTGCAGGATTTCGCCCGACCACTGCATTATGCACACGTACACACACATATAGAAGCTAGTGAACGGGGAATACCCTCCAAAAAACAGCTGGACGGAAGTCTCCATGGAGGACACCCCAGACCTGCCAAACCACCTTCTGAGTTGACTGGCCAGAACGACAAATAAAAACACTGGGTTTTTTCGGCCCTTGACAAAAGAAGAACAACTATGTTAATAATCAGGTTTACCCTTCCCAAAAACATGGCAGCTATGAGAGGGCAGTTGGAAGTTCAGTTTCCTCTTGAAGGACCCCCCCTCTGAGGTGCCATGGCAACGTGGGAGGGAGGGTAAGTTTGGCTAAGTTTGCCAACTCATCTTTACAACCCTTGGTATGGTAGCAAAAAACTGTGCTTCTGCAGCTCCCTACTAAAAAATGAACAGAACCAAACACCAAAACAACAACTCAAGCCATGCCAACCCGCAACAAACTTGGCTTTTGCAGCCCCCTACTAAAACTGAACAAAAAAAACAAAAAAAAAAAGCTAAAAGCAGGCCAACAACCGTTGAGGCAGGTAAGTCATTGTCATCCCTTGTGGACTTCACCTAGGTCCTCCAGTAGAGAGGCTAAAATAAGGGCACCAACTTTTTCTCTGTAGTCTATTCTAGGGGAACCCTCCCAACCAAAAAAGTGGGTAGAGGAAGGGCACCAATTGCTGGGGGACCTGACGTCTCACGTTGCCAGAAACACGCCCCACGCGTCCGCTTCGCTCCTTCGAAGTCCTCGAGCTGGTGCTGCAAAGCGCAAACGGAAGTGGCGAAGGCCAGGATGAAGAAGATCAAGGCCATCCTGAAAGCCGTTGGATCCGGAGTCAGCGGTGTCTGGACCGGTTGAATCGGACTTGATCTTCCCTTAGGCTACCTGAACCAAATCATTTGCGACCATTTTTCCACCACCTTGTGGCGACCCTTTCGAAGGAACACCTGCCATGTCCTTGGCCGAGCCAATCGCAATGGTTCGCTTAATACTGTGGATGGACGAAATCCTGCACCACTTTGAAACCGTGGTAAACCATTGTTTGTTGGTATTTACAAGGAACTCCTCATTCCAGGGTTTCTTAGGTGGTGCAGGATTTCGTTCATCCACAGTAGGTTTCCCGAAAGAAGCCGTTGAATTGGCCATGTTCCAAAACAACTCATGGCCTATGGACTATGGAGCCCCATCCCCGAGCCTCCTTCACAGTGCCTCAGTGTTTTGTTGCGGAGGCACGAGACCGCCAGGCTGAAAGACGCCATTGCATGTATGGTCAAAACTCTGTCTTGGGACGATTGGGTCAGCATCCCTTTTGCCGACCCTTTTGATGTGCGGTCAAAGCTGCTCCGATTGGGTCATGATTCCGGGTCATGATTCCCTGAATAGGTTCACTTTCATAGATCGGAATCATTACAATGGCTATAGGGCAACTGAGTTTTGTCCATCAGCTAAGGATCCATACAGCCAGGTGGCCATCTTTCTTGGAAACCCGTTTGGCTACTCTTGGCTACTCTTGGGGTTGATCAAATGCTCCGGGAAACAAGGATGACCATTAACAAAAAAAAAACGGGGCGGGGGGGGGGGGGAGGGGAGCCCCCCATTGGGTGGCAAACCACTAAAAGGTTATGATATGTCAAACACATTCCTGAAAGAAGCCGTTTGATTCGAGGGTCTGGACCCCCATTCCCGGCCCTCTTTTGGGTGGGTACCGTGCCTTCTCAAAATTTTGAGAGGGCTCACTTTTCTGGGGAGCCCTGACAGTCCTGATTGGCCACACTTTTGATGTGTGTGGTCAAAACGCCGTTTTGGCCGATTGGGTCATGGTTTCCTTAGCGAGAATCATTGTACTGGCTATTAAGAATCCTTGTTGACGTTGGAAGGGGAGCAAAACAAATTGTTTAGCAGTTAAGTGGGGATTTCGCACTAAACCACAATAAGCAAAACTGTAAAATGTTTCCCAACAACAACCATGACCAGGTGGATGACCATCCCTGTTGACCCCAAGTAAAGGAACCGGTCTTCTGACCATGGTTTATATGGTACCCTGTTTTGGGTTTGTTTCTTACAGGAATAACAGCAGCCCGCATGTTGAGACATAAAAAAAGGATGGTCTAACCCTCTGATGGTTGATGTTTCAAGGGAACACCTCCTATTCAGGGCCAACTTACTTTGACATATCCTGAAAAATGGATTTGGTTTCCCGGAGAAAAACACAAACACGTGCTTCTGCGATGGTTTCTAGACAAACCGTCCCGAAACCAACGGCTTCCCCAACCCATGCTTAGGGAATCCTATGCTTTGGAGTGCTCCCACTTCTTTGGCTTGTTTGCAGGAAAGGACGGCCCTGCAGTTGTTCAGTGACCCTGGAAAAAAAGAATTGGAACCCTTTTTTGGGCTTTGCCCATTTTAGTTGGGCAGCCACCAAGAAAAAAGGGGGAAAAAGGGGGCCACTGAACAACTGAGTGTAGTTTCGTTGGACCGGGTTCAACCATCGTGTTCAATGACCAGCCTTTTCCCAAGGCGGGTAGAGCTGCCGGAAAAAAAATGACAGGGACCAAGACCGTTTTCCACCTCGCTTCCTGAGTTGATTGGCCAAAAAAAGTCCAAACCTTTTGTTTACCACCAAAATGGTCTTCCCAAAAAGTATAAAGTCCATGAACTCCGGGAGTGAGCAACAGAGACCCTCTTCCAGTTTCCCGTTTCAAAATGGACACCGACGACGCCTTTGCTTTCGCAAGGTCTCTGGTGCATTCCGAGCCGCAAAAACAGGCCCACCTCCATCAGTACGCGGCCGCAGACCAGTACGAAGGCAGAAATCCGCATGGAGAAAATGGTGAAGTCCATCATCAGAGCCCAGTACAACAAAATGCCAATACCTGGAGCCGAGCGTGTGGTCGCAGCTGCTCCCTAAGCCCTGTTCAGCTTCACGAACAAAGCAGCCCGAAAAGAGTCTGGCAAGGATTTTTAAGAGCCGGAACCACTGCAATCAACTTGCCGATAGGTAGCGGGTCGAAGAGCCCTAAAATGTTTTCTAGGTCCTCCAGATTTGAGAGGCTAGAATAAGTTGGTACCAACTTTTCCTGTAGATCTACACTATTTTAGGGGAACCCTCCCCCAAAAAAGTTGGTAGAAAAAGCTTTGTCGCAGGGGAGCCCTAAAATGTTTTCTAGGTCCTCCAGTAGAGAGGTTAGAATAAGGGTACCCGTTTTTGTTTTTTTTGGTAGGGAACCCTCCCAACCGAAAACCGATCAAAAGGACACCGATGTTCTGATTCGGTTTTTGAGGGACCTGCGCTCATGGAGAAGCAACAGCCTGCTTCCTTGAGTCTGGCTCAGACTCCTTTGCAGGTATATGGCTTTTGTAGCGGTTTAAAGATCGAGGGTTCCTAATCACCATTCCTTTTACCTACAGACATGAGGCTGTGTCTTGTTTAAGGGAAGGTGGCTTTCCTCTTGGTTTCCCTTTGAAACCACCAACAAAGCCAAAGGGGGTGCCGACTCACAAAAAAGACGAGCCACCCATGAGAAGAAATCCTGCCAACACCTTTGACACTGCCAATACCTGTCGGCCAATGCTCGAACACATTTGGCACACCAAGCGTTGGAGTTCCAGCAAGTGGCTAGCCACCTGGCGTACAGCCAGACCTGGCGTACAGCCAGGCCAATATCCAGGCATCTCAGGAAACACACACACAGGTATTCATTCTGGGGGACGGTCAAACGCTGGGACGGCTGAGTGCAATCACCTCTCCCTTCGAAAGAAAAAACAACGCGGAGTTTTTGCTCTCCTGGGGCTGTGTGAACCTGGATTTGGGTCACATCCGGTGAATCTTGCCAATCCGAATCCTGCAACCTGCAGTCGAGTGGCCGGAAAAAACTGCGTAGCTCACCTGCTTGTCGGCTGATTGAGCACAGTCCGGAGTGAACATGATCTCCCTCAGCGGGCCGATCCCAATGCGCAAGATTGGATTGGGCAACAGGGCACGTTGCCGAGTCAGCTTCCCGTGGGGCTCTTGTGGGCAGTCAGTTGCTGTTCCGGTGTAGCTTTCTCTTGTTCTTCCCCAGCTGAAAGCCGGGGTGAACTAAGGCAGGGCCGCACAGGGTTCGGGGATTGCACGGGACAGTTTGGGAGAAGGGTTCCAGGGATGCACGGGGTGGTTCCGAGTTCTGGCAATGCCAGCTGTCGGGGATACTGTGGATGGACAAAATCATGCACCACCTAAGAAACCTAGGATTGATGATTCCTCTGTAAATGCCCATGCACAATGGTTTCCCATGGTTTCCAAGTGGTGCGAACGGATTTCGTCCATCCACAGTATCACCGGAGCTCATTTGCAGAAGATGCTCTACATTCACCTCAAGGCGATGCCCACGCACAAGCCGAGCTGTCTTATGCGGTTACGACCTGCGTAGCCGGGCAAGAGTGCGCAGAATCAACAGCATCACAAGTGTGGCTCCAAACTCATTGCACTGTGGGTAGTCACATCATCTTCCAGAGATCATGTAAAACAAGCTGCTCCCCTGTCAATTAACATGGAATTCCACCAGCGAGCACCCGAGCAAGCGGAATCTAAGCTCCAGGCTGAAACTCGGGGGTGCCAATGCAGTAGAAGATGGGCTCTTGCGAGCACATCACGATCCTGAGTCAAGCAAAAGACGGAGCACTTGAAGTGGTGATAAGCGGAGTTCGTTTTTGCTATGGAAATAGTATACGTGTGGAGTATGATTATAATCTTACATTAATAGTTGCAAGTGTATATTGTGATAATAGTCATGGTTATGCAGGTAGTGGTCCATCTGTTGGTGCTGGGGACAAAATGAATGGGCCTTTAGGCGTTTTTGCGGTGCATCTTCATGCAACCTTTGCCATCATCCAACTCAAATAGCCCTTCGCGAGCCTACGTAACTGTGTGTTGATTCTAAAACGACCAGTGCAGCTGGAAAGCTTGGCAAGGCAACGCCTTGAACGGCCAGTTCCAGTTGCGAAGAGGCTCTATGAGGTTACATGCAAGAAGCGCCGAAGAACATATATGGGTGTCAGTCAAAACTAGGGCAACCCCAAAATGGGTTGCCCTGGTAAATGGAAACATAAACTAAAACCTTCGGTCCAACTCCTGGTGGTGACTCATTTGGCCCCATACCCATATTGACATATACATATACTCACTTGCCCAAAGGACCTGGACATACAAGATGAACCTTTTGGGACCTCTACTAAAAACGGCCCAAAACATGGGAAAACCAAAAGGTAAGAAGAGGTCGGTGTTGAACCACAGAGTATATAAACATATTATACATATGCATATTATAGGCATAGACACATGGTTAGCATATATATATATATATATATGTGTCTATATATATATACATATATATATACATATATATATATACATATATATATACATATATATATACATATATATATATATATATACATATATGCCTATTCTCCGTAATGATTTTCCACTGGCGGATCCCTTTGCACCCAAGTGGCAGAGTCACCAGCAGTGCCAGGTTTCCGGCCTCCTGGAAGCCTCAAGTGCCCCAGTCTTGCCGGTGATGCAACGGAGAAGCCCAAAACTGGGGGAGGTGCAACGGATCCATGTGTCTGAGTAAAAAAAACGGCTGACCTCACCAGCGAAATCGACCCCCGGCCGAAAAACACAAAAACAAGCAAGGGGAGACTGTTTTATCGGACGGAAAAAAAAAAAAAAAAAAAAAAAAAAAAACAAAGATGTTCGACGTTCGGCCATAAAGGCAACAGAACTTCCCACGTCTCAGCTTGCCCCGAAGTGGCTTGGAGCCGGAGCCGGAGTCCGGTGGTGTGTGGGTGTTCCGGGCTGGAGAAACCCACTTACTCGCACGGCTGAAATCCGAGTCTGAGCCAGTTCAAACGACCCATAGTTTACTTGAACCAAGCCCCCACCCTGCAAAAACCAAGAGGATAGGCCAAATCGAAAGGAAGCTCGGTTCCGAAAATTCGAAGCACTTGAGTTCTCTGTTGCCCTGGGACCCCAGTGGATCCATTGGTTTTGTGGGTCACCTTTTGAACCTTTAAATCCAAAAGGATTGTGAAGGATGGTGTTTGGAAGAGCAATGGCGCCAGCAACCACGCTCTTAAACCAAAAGGATCATAAATGGTTGCCACTAGACATATTTCTGCGATCACCGAAAACGGGGCCGTCTCAAAATCGGAACCGTCTCAAAATCGGAACCGTCTCAAAATCGGAACCCATCCAGTCGGATCCACCTTCGATCCGCTCTCGATCATGAGCTAAACATCTACTCTGTGGAAACCCATGTCGCACGGATGGATGCGAGCCTATGGTACTGATAAACCACCTTGCTCGATGCGCCAAGTTAGCAAGTGGTTGACCACTTGGGGTACGGTACAACCCCCTAACAAGGTGAACTCCCTTGTAATAAAGTTAACCCCACTTAGGGGGACTCAAAAGTCGGCTAGAACCGATGGTATCAACAACTTACTAACTTAGCCGACACCCAAGTAGGCTTGGGTGGTGCAACAGGGTTCCTTGTATGTCCCTTTCGCAATTACACCACCTCATGAAACGTAACTTGAAATAGAAACCACAAGATAATAAATCGCCCCAACGACGAAAACATGGTTGCCCGCGTATACTATTCCATACGGCTTTGCTGAAGGGATGCCTGCTTTATAAGTTTAGATTGTCCATATTTCAACTGCGTGGCATGAGTCGGGTTTCGTGTGTGTGTGTGTGTGTGTTGATACTGGGCCCACTGTGAAAAGGACAAGTTTATGCCATATCTACCGCTGGTGTCAGTTGTCTGACAGTTTATGCGGACAGAGTCAACAAGACTGCTGGAATAGCCTGCTTTGGTTGCCAGCCTTCGCCCTACCACTGAAGGGTGCTGATTTTGATGGTCAAATGACATAGATCCCTGGGCCCTCAGATTTTTCTGCCACAAGTTTAACTGGGTTAAATTGAAACCCAACCACTCAACCAACTAAAATCTAAGCACATAAAACCACCAAAAAGCCTAAGAAGCCACCAAACTCCCCAGGAGGACCTACGCTTGGCCAGGTGGCTGAAAATGTAGGACGGCAAGGGGATGTAGCACGTCCTGCGAGAGAAGATGAGAGTCATCATCAAAACTCATAAGAAACAACGGGGGTAGGAATCAACCATACATGTTACAAAGAGGTTCAAACTTTACTATCATCAAAGTAGACCGTCCCCCAACAACAGGGGCGGGAATCAAACATATAAGCAAAGTCAAACTTTACTTTCAAAGTCACCGTCCCCCCTCAGGTGAGTCATAACAAAACTCCGCATTAAATGGTCGTAATCCCAGAACCATGCTTCCAGGAAGAAACACAAAAAACACGGATTCCCGCATTCATGGCTGTCCTTACCCTCCAATTCCCCAAATGTTGATTGACTCACATGGGTTTGCGCCTTGCTTTGAGCCGAAGGGTATCTTGTTGAAAGGTGTGGCTTAAAGAGAAGCCAACAGGGAAGGACAACATGTGGGGAAATCCCACAATTTTGAGACCCGAAATCCAAGTTTTTTTGTGATGCAAATGGACTTTGGGCATCTTTGAACTCAACATTCGGCTGCTCAGGTCCAGGCAACCACCGAAGTGGGACGCCCAATGGCTTACCACATGTCAACGTGTTTCTTTTGAAGGACCCCCCAGACCTGACAAACCTGCTGAGCCGACTGGCCGGAAAAACCAATAAAAACACAGGGTTTTTCGGCCCACCAAAACGAACGAAACATGCCAACAAATAAGGTCTAGGTCCTCCAGTGGAGAGGTTAGAACAAGTTGGCACCCATTTTTTTCTGTAGTCTATTTTAGTAGGGGAACCCTCCCCCCAAAAAGGGTAAAAGGGCACTACTGGAGGACCTAGTAGGGGTGTCTCAAAATCAGGGGCTCTCAAAATTTGGTTGTTTCATTTGTTCCGCTTAAGACCATTCAAAAAAGGCACCACACCCAGCTTCCGCGCCTCCAACAAACAGTTTGCAGATTTTCGGAGAAAAAAAAAAGCCGTGTGTACTTGTGTCAACCATTCAGGGCGCTTGAGCTCTCTGTGCATTCGCGAAATGCAAGAGCACTCAAGCCGCCCTAGGCATCGCCGGCCCCTTCCCTTATGAAACCCCCCTCTTGGGGACGACTTCGGGAGAAATAACACACCACAAAGCAGCTTAACTGGCATGGAAACCCCCACCAAGCCACCAAAAAACCTCACAAAAGCTAAGTTTAAGCGGCCAAATGAAAACCCCCACTAAACCACCAACAACAAAAAAAACGTAAAAAACAAAGGTGGAAACACCCACCAAACCACCCGAACAAAACCTCGTCACAAAAAAACAAAAACAAAAGGACTGCCCTCGGTGTCCGAAACAACTTTTGGGGGCCTCTGGAAGGCACCGGCTTTGATGTCGAGGTAGAGCAGTCGCAACTGGCCTCGCGCCACGCAGGCCGAAAACCGCCGCCAGAGGTGGCCGGACGCGCGAGGATACGGTTACGTGAAAAAAGGCACATCCCTCACTGATGCGATCATGCAAGGGTCGCCGAAAGCAATCATGCAAGGGGACAAAGGAATGCAATCTAACTGACACCTGGCCAATGAATACTGGGATCTCCTTCTGGTGAGGGGGTTCTATGTCAGCGTTTCAAGCAAATGATGCTCCCGGAACCTAGCGGGCTTCGTTTGGATTTCCCAACGAACCTAGGACCTGAATTCAGCAAACGCCCTCACATCTTGTCAAGCCATCAACAGGAGCAATGCACTGCATTCGGATTACCGTTGAAAGCAAAGAGAGGTGGAAAGGTGTCATGCAGACTACCAACCAAAACATATAAAACACATATCGGGGGAGTCTTGACTTCGGGTTGCCGTGGAAACCGCTGCCGCACGATGGCACGATGGCGCGCCAGCGCAAATTGCAAGCGTTGCCTCCGATTCCACTGACATATAGCGCAAGCTTGTTGATATGTGGGTAGGTGAGACCCCCCACACTGGGCTGTCCGTTTTCAGATCCCCTGGTAAAAGTGTTCACTTTTGGCGGCTTAAATGGAAACCCAACCACGAAACGCCAAAAAGCTAAGAACATCTATCAAACTGGACGTCTGGGAACCGCCAGGCCAAATGGTGTTTCTTCTTTTTGCTTTACCTTTGTACCAACCTAAAAAGGGTAGCCTCGAGACAAAACCATCTGCGCTAAGGCACCCTGTAAGAATGTAGCTGTTCCATGCTGTTTGCTCAGTGGAAGTACTGTCGCCACTTCACCAGATTCTGTCAAATGTTCTGCATCTTTGTTCAGAACAGCAACAGCTTCAAAGACCGGCACTAGGTCCTCCAGTAGAGAGGTTAGAATAAGGGTGCCCTTTTTTCTGTAGTCTATTTTAGTAGGGGAACCCTCCCAACCAAAAAAGGGGAGAGAAGGGTACTGGGAGACCTAGTGTAGCCCCCTGAAAAACAAGATTCACATGACAATGTTCGACAATTGAATAATAGAAACTCAGGCAACATCGCCCCATGCTTGGACTGCGGGTGACCATCGCAAGTGTTGAACGCCTGTGATCTCGCATTGGTCAGCTGTCCTTTTCTTCCATTTGGTTAAGACCCCTGGAAAAATATGTCCTGTAGTGATAAGTTCCTTTCAAAACCAACAAGGGGAAAAACAAAAGAAAACATCACTTCAGAAAATGGAAGCTTTGGCATAAACATAAATTGAGGGGGCAGGTTGCGCCACTCCATCTACTACCCGTCCTGTTGAAGGCCATTCAAACCGACCTGTCTATTGTCTATTGTTGCACGAAAAGGACAATGCTTCTGCTCTCCATGTGCAGCCAAGAGACTGTACAATATCTTGCACCTCAGTTTTCCGAATCCTCCGGATTCCATGTCGATGTGATCCGGAGGCGTATGCGTTGTCAAAACATCAACTGCAAGGCCAGCTCAGGCTTCAAAGTTACAAGAATAGTTGACCACGTAACTTGGCTTTCTGTTTTGTGGTCCGTTAAACGTTTAACTTGTGGGTCACATGTAAAATTCCAACACTAAACCAACTAGAAAGCTAAAAGCTAAGGAACCGGATGGGAGCCAGCAAGGAAAGTTCTTTGGCCATCGGAGGCCGTTGTATGCTGTGGCGCTTTTGGGGGCAACGAAAACCCAAACAAACCCTGTCACTGCAGGTGGCCCCCCCCCCCCCCCTGGGTCCCCACAAGCGTGCCCCACTGACCACTCAAAGGTAAAACCAAGGCAGTCGGAACAACTGATTGTGATTTCGCTTTGTGGCTCGGTCTGCCCAAGTGTTGTTGCTGCTGTTGTTGTTGTTGTTGTTGTTGTTGTTGTTGTTGTTGTTGTTGTTGTTGTTGTTGTTGCCGTTGTTGCTGATATGGCTATTAAACGATTAGTGTTGTTGCTGCTGTTGCTCAGGTTGCTATTAAACTATGATTGATGTTGCTGTTGGTGCTGATACTGCTATTAAATCAATACTGTTGCTGCTGCTGTTGCTGTTGTTGTTGTTGTTGCTGATATGGCTATAAAACAAATACAGTTGTTGTTGCTATTCTTCATGTTGCTATTAAACTATCATTGATGTTACCGTCGGTGCCGATACTGCTATCAAACTAACATTGTTGCTGCTGATTTTGCTGTTGCTGTTGTTGCTGTTGATCCTGTTGTTGCTCTTGATATAGTAAACTATTGTTGTTGTTGCTGATGTTGCTGTTGATGCTGGTGTTGCTGTTGCTGTTGTCGCTGTTCTTGTCATTAAGATATACGCGTTGCTGCTGTTGCTGTTGTTGCTGTTGATGCTGTTGTTGAAGGTGTCGCTGTTTCTGTTGTTGCTATCATTGCCGTTGTTGTTGTTGTCGTTGCCAGTGTCGTTGTCTGTCGTTGTCGTTGTCGCTGTCGCTGTCGTTGTCTGTCGTTGTCGTTGTCGCTGTTGTTGTGGTGGTGGTTGTTGTTGTGGTTGGTGTTGGTGTTGGTGTTGGTGTTGGTGTTGTTGTTGTTGGTGGTGGTGGTGGTGGTGGTGGTGGTGGTGCTGTTCTTGCTTGGTGTTGTTGTTGCCGTTGCCCTTGCCGTTGCCGTTGCCGTTGCCGTTGTCGTTGTCGTTGTCGTTGTTGTTGTTGTCGTTGTTGTTGTTGTTGTTGTTGTTGTTGTTGTTGTTGTCGATGTGGTTGCGCTGGTTGTTGTTCATGGTGGGTGTGGTGTTGTTGTTGTTGTTGTTGTTGTTGTTGTTGTTGTTGTTGTTGTTGTTGTTGTCGTTGTTGTTGTTGCAGTTGTGATTGTTGTTGTGGCTGCTGCTGCTGATGTCCTTTTTGATGTTGTTGGCGTTGTTGCTGTTAATGCTGATGTTGCTGTTGTTGCTATTGTCGCTGTTGCTGCTGTTGATGCTGCTGTCGCTGTTGTTGCTGCTGTTGCTATTGCTGGTGTTGCTGCTGCTTTCCTGGTGGTTGTGTTGGTTGTTGAATGTTGGTTGTGGGTTGTTGGTTGTTGTGGTCGTCAGCGTCTTTGTGGCTGTTGCTGTGGCTGCTGTTGTTGTTGCTGCTGCTGCTGTTGCTGTGGTTGTGGTTGTGGTTGTGGTTGTGGTTGCTGTTGTTGTTGCGGTTGCGGTTGCGGTTGCGGTTGCGGTTGCGGTTGCGGTTGCGGTTGTGGTTGTTGTTGTTGTTGTGGTAGTTGTTGTTGTTGTTGTGGTTGGTGTTGGTGTTGGTGTTGGTGTTGGTGGTGTTGTTGTTGTTCTTGTTCTTGCTATTGTTCTTGAGGTTGTTGTTGCTGTTGTTGTTGTTGTTCTTGTTGTTGTTGGTGGTGGTGGTGCTGTTCTTGCTTGGTGTTGTTGTTGCCGTTGCCGTTGCCGCTGCCGTTGTCGTTGTCGTTCGTTGTCGTTGTCGTTGTCGTTGTCGTTGTCGTTGTCGTTGTCGTTGTTGTTGTTGTTGTTGGTGGTGTTGTTGGTGTTGGTGTCGGTGTTGTTGTTGCAGTTGTGATTGTTGTTGTTGTTGTTGTTATTGTTGCTGCTGCTGTTGTCGCTTTTGCTGTTGTTGCCGTTGTTGCTGTCAATGCTGATGTTGCTGTTGTTGCTATTGTCGCTGTTGCTGCTGTTGATGCTGCTGTCGCTGTTGTTGCTGCTGTTGCTATTGCTGGTGTTGCTGCTGCTTTCCTGGTGGTTGTGGTTGTTGGTTGTTGCTTGTTGGTTGTTGAATGTTGGTTGTGGGTTGTTGGTTGTTGGTTGTTGTGGTCGTCAGCGTCTTTGTTGCTGTTGCTGTGGCTGTTGTTGTTGT